CACACCCCAACATTCATATTTTATGCGAAGGCGTCCTCCTCATTCAAAACCAAACCTATGTCACCATGAACACTATCAAGAAGGGAAAAGAACACAGAGAGCCAGTGCAGACGAGGGAGAGGCGCATGAGAAGTGTTATGGCCTACATGGAGTGCTTGCGCCAGAAACGAGGTATCCTAAGTTACCTACGGTTCATGGGAAATGTTTACAGTTCGTAGGTTCTATTCCACATTGTTGTTTTATATTTTTTTAAGAACATTTGTTGACTTGTGTGTGTAAGTTTTTACATTTATCTATATGCATTTATCTATGTATGTATATTTCCTCTGCTACAATGTACTAATGTGTTGTGTATTTTGAGTACAGTTCGTAAGTTCTATTCAAAAAATTGTTGACTTGTGTAAGTTTTTACATTTATCTATATGCATTTATCTATATTTCCTCTGCTACGATGTATTAATGTGTTATGTATTTTGAAATGAAATAAAGTATCTTTTGTCCAGTATTCGTCGTGCATTTTGCAGTAAGCGAGTGTGTGAGTCGAGAGGGGGGGGGGGGGTCTGCTGCACTTGGCGCACGCAGCCGTCGTCCCCGGTTTCCCCCGCGCGCCGCAAACGACCATCCACCGGCGCCCCGCCGCTGCCGTACGCAGTGCGGAGGGAAATGTCTCTTTCTTCCCTCGGATTCCCCCGCGCGCGCCGCAATCGACAATCCGCGCCTCGGCCCCGCCGCAATCGACACTCGACCCTTCTGACCTGGGGGCTTAGTGCCGCAAACGACCATACGCCGGTGGGACAGCACTTTTGGGGATTTTGGGAAAATTACCAGGTCGGAGAAAAGTAGGCCGGACAATCTAGCTGCACCGAAGATCTCGACCAATCACAAAAATTATGTTCTACCCGCTTTTCCTCATTCTCATTTTCATTCAGTAAGCTGGAGTAAGTACACTATGGACCCTCTGGCAGGCGCGTCACCCGCCTCCTATCTGATACGGAGAGCAGCCCTGGCGCATCCCTAGCGCAGCCCTACAGCGCGCAGCCGTGCAATGATCGCGGACCTTATCCGGGCCCTCGTTATTAGGAGGCGGGGGAGGGAAGGGGGACCACCGACGGAGCACCGCACCACGTCGGCGCGGGCGGGGGCAGGAGGGCAGTGGAATCCAGGCCGTTCTCTCGTCGGCTTGGTGAGTTTCGCGGCTAGAGATGGGTGCCTCGCCCGGGGCCGGCCGTTCATTGAGGTGTCACATCGTTACCGCCTCACATGTTGCAGCTCCCGGTAGTCGCACCGCACCAACAACACCGTCTGCCGCGAGACGAGAGGCGCGCGCGAGCGTTGACCGGGGCGGGGCGGGGCGGGGCGGGGCGTAGTGTGACGTGCAGAACTTCTCGGTAACCCTTGCGGCGTTTATAAATATAAACGGCGGACGACGTGAGCGCGCATCCCAAGCCGCCTGGCCGCCCGGCCTGGCCCGTGTGTATGTATGTGTCGCCCCGCCCCGCCCCGCCCCGCCCCGCCACGCCGCGGGGAGCCAGGACCCCCTGCTCATCTTTGCGGCGTGCCGCGGGGGGGACCTCAGACTGCAACCGACTCCGAACCGCGAAGCACGCGTCACGCCAAGCCGCGCGCGCCTCCGACCCGACCCGCGACCCGTCCTCGGCGGCCCCGGCAGCCTCCGGACCCGGCAGGACCTGGCCAGTAGCGCGCGACCCGCGGCCTCGACCGCGGCACGGCTGGCTGTTTAAGCAAACGAACGGCGAACGGTGAGCGCCGCACGTGGAGAGTGCGACCGAACGGCGTGACTCCCCGCGGCGTTAGGACCACGCCGTAAGTCTCCCTGGACCGTCGACCGAACCGTCAGCGCGCCGCCGACGCCATGAAGGACAAGAAGGCCTCGTCGTCCTCCGTGGCCGCAGCAAAAAAGTGGTTCCTCCCCGGCAAGAAGCAGCAGCAGCAGCAGCCGGCGTCACAGCAGCCGGCTCCGCAGCAACCGCCCCTGCCGCAGCACCAGAAGCCACCGATATCCCCGCCGTCCCAGCGGCAGCAGCAGAAGGCGCCTACCTC